ACTACTCCCCCGCCAACATGGGCCTCCTCGACCCGGCCACCAGCGACGGCCGCGTCATCTTCTTCCTCCCCTGGGAGAAGTGGACCATCGCCGGCACCACCGACCGCACCACCGAGGTGACGCAGCACCCCGCCCCCACCGAGGCGGACATCAGCTTCATCCTCGAGGAGATTCGCCACTACCTCTCACCGGATGTCAACGTCCGCCGCGGCGACGTCATGTCCGCCTGGGCCGGCATTCGCCCCCTCGTTTTGGACCCGAAGAAGACCAACACCGAGTCCATTGCTCGCAACCACATCATCGACGTCTGCCAGGCCAGTGGCCTGGTCACTGTGGCCGGCGGCAAGTGGACTACCTACCGCGTCATGGCGGAGGAGGCGGTGGACGCGGTCATCAAGTCGAACCCCGCCACGCTGGCCCACGCCGGCAGCTGCCAGACGCTGGGCCTGACGCTGGAGGGCGGCAAGGACTGGTCGCCCACGCTGCACATCCGCCTCGTCCAGGACTACGGCCTGGAGCAGGAGGTGGCGCAGCACCTGGCGAACACCTACGGCGACAAGGCCTTCCTCGTCGCCCGCCTCGCCGAGCTGACCGGCAAGCGCTGGCCGGTGGTCGGCAAGCGCCTCCACAGCGAGTTCCCCTACCTCGAGGCGGAGGTGAAGTACGCCGTGCGGGAGTACGCCTGCACCGCCGTGGACGTCATCGCCCGCCGCACCCGGCTCGCCTTCCTCAACGTGGCCGCCACCGAGGAGGTCCTCCCGCGCATCGTCGCCATCATGGCCGGCGAGCTGAAGTGGAGTAAGAAGCGCGAGGAGGAGGAGCTGGAGGCCGCCCGCCGCTTCCTCAACACCGAGATGGGCAAGGAGGTGAACGTGGCGGTGCGCCAGCAGCTGCCCATTAGCATGAATAAAGAGGAGATCAACAAGTACAGCAAGCTCTTTCACACGCTCGATCGCGACCGCAAGGGCTACATTGGCATCAATGATCTGCGCCGCTCCATTAAGGTTCGTACATTGCATAGGACTTTTTCGACTTTTTCGGGAAAAGTTCGAAATTCGAAATTTTGTTGACATTGCTTTCTAAATCATTATCTTTCATCATCGCCCTCTGCAGGACCAGGGCGTGAGCTGCACCGACGAGGACCTCCACCTGATGCTCTCCGAGGTGGACATCAACCAGAATGGACGGATCGAGTTTGGCGAGTACCTCGAGCTGATGAGCTCCATCAAGAACNGGCGGTGGACTGTAAAGGAGCAGCTTTCGGTGTGTGCGTAGTAGTTGTTGTAGTGGTACTCTCATTGACCAGCATTGACCACCATTGTCATCATCATCATCGCTGTCATCGTCGTTATCATCCTTTTGGTCGTAGTAGTCTTCCCCCCTTTCATTTCGATTTGATCCTCTTCCCTGCACTTTCCTTTCTTTTCCCTCTTTCCTTCCACCTCCAATTCTGGAAATCAACCTTTTCTCTACCTTTCTGTTTTTCATCTTTTCAGCTCTTGTTGTTGTTCTCAAACTGTTTCTTTCTGTTTCTTTCTCACCCTTGTTACCTATCACTGTTTCCTATATTATTATTATAATCCCCTTCTATCTCTCTAAACTCAAAGTGAGGTGACGCTTTCTTCTCTATTTTTTTGTGTTTGGTTCCTTTGCCTCAGCAGCGCCTTCCTCCAGCAGTCCGTCCTGGGCGGTGACCTCTTCCGAGCGCAGAACGAGGACAGCCAGG